CAACCGCCTGGCGCTTAGCTATTGGAAATGCCACACAATCAGTCGATGCATTGATTTCCCAGTGACCGGAATTATACACCATGTCGGTCTATAGAGACTAGAGACACAACAAAAGGAAAATCGTTGGCTCACATTGTTGTTGTTGCTGTTGCTGTTGCTGTCACACAGCTGCGCCACCATTTCTTATTCAAATTGTTGGCCAAAGAAAAGGTCTCACGCGCTCATGTCATAAAATAAAATAGAAATACTAAAAAACCGAAACATAAAAAAAAAATCAGCTTCGTTGTTGCCATCCACAAGTGTGGCTTAGATTTAAGTTTGTTGTTGTTGCTGTTGTTGGTGTTGTTGTTGACACTTGGCTGGCTTTTATTACGTCACGACTCCGCAATACATTTGACAAATTTATTTATATTAAAAGCAATTTCTTTGAAAGCGTCGACATGAATTGAATTTCTCTTGATTGAGTTGTTTTTTAAGTGCCTCCCTTATCATCGAGGGGGTTGCTTGGGCTATGTTAATAGGCCAATAAGTGATTTTTACCATCTATAATCTGTACCCGGCCAACTTGACCAAATTTATGTACATCTACTTAAGCACATGTTCACAAACAAAAGTAATATAAGCGTTAAATCGATAACGAAACGAGATTGAAACGAATATGACCAATTCTATAAGATATGAGTCAGCTGAATAGCTGCATTTCAAAATAAGGAATACTAGTATTAATAGGAGACTAGTATGATATAGAGAATAGTACTTAGACACCATTTAAGTTTCTATATAACTGCAGACAAACATAAATCTTTTTGAAGTCAACTGGGATCATAATATTTCAAAATCATTAAGAACTCACTTGTGGAGAGTACGCAAATGGGGAAAACACTAAAATGAGCAACCAACGGCAGCTTTTTACATGGATATTTTATATTTCTGCATATATAAATATATCGGCATATATAAAAACTATAAGCCCCATAGATAGTATGTATTTACATATGTATGTATCCTATACAAAATAATACAATCATATTATATTTATTTTTATAGCCAACTGCCTTAGTATAACATATACTTATGTATATGGTATATGATTATGAACTTTAATCTTTGATGATCTTTGAGCTATTAAAAGTTTTAATATTACTAACAGTTTTTCATTTCTTTTCCCATTATCTATTGAATTCAATACTTAAAACATAATGTTGAATGAAATAATTTTAAATGAATTCATACAAAATTCGGAGAGGCAATACGCAGATAAAAATTGTTATTATATTACCATGCAATATAATATATCATTTAAATATTGCATTATAAAAATGTAAATTATAGATTTATAGATATAGATATATTATATCATTCAAATATTGCATTATAAAAATGTAAATTACTGATGTTAAGGTATCTTTATAGTCTAGCAGATCTGATCAATATGTTTATTATTATTTGCCATTTAATGTGCATTATAAGCCGCAACAGCTTTTGCGAATGCTTTCATATTTTCTTTCGTCGAAAAGAAAACAGCAGCAGAAAAATACGACAGTAAAAAAAAAAATATTTTAAATACATATTTCAATGGCTTGCTAGAAGATACCCTACACCCTAAACGTTTTCGACTGATTTTATCATTACTAATTTACCAATGGCAACATAATATTGTATGATTCTAATGATGTGTTCTTAAACAATAATCTAATTTAGTTCTCTGGCCTTTAAGTTTACAAATTAAGCTTGGAATGAAATCATAGCAATCAAAGATAATCTTTTAGACGACGTCAGACTAATCGATTATACAAGAATCTTATATACGAATCTCTATAGTCCCGTAAGCCTCTTTTGTCTACCATTGGATTAAAATGATAATACCCATCTTAACTAATTATCAATAGGTACTGTTTGCATAAAGAGCAGCAAAGCGAACGCCGAATCGGGCTGATTAATGCAAAACGCGGCAGTTGGCACAACTTGTCACAGATTCCATTAGGTCATCGCCGTATTTGCATATGTTCGCAGAATCAAAATATTTACGCCGTGCGTCGCCCCAGCTAAGAATACCCGTGCAGAAAATAGACTCAAATTGGGAGCTGGGAGCTACATGCTGTGCGATGCTGAGAACTGGGAACAGGTATCAGCTGTTGGCCAATTATGCGAACACGATCGCCGCAATCTTGTGGGAAAAGTAAAGAAAGTTGCGCAGGTGGCGACGCAACTGCCCAACAGCGACTTTTCTTAACCCGAACTCACCGCAGAGACGCAGGAAAATTGGCAATCATTTGTAAACAATGTGCGAAGCGAATCATGACAGGGTGCGGCAGGACGGGGGCGCGGCCAGGCATACACAGCCCGTATATCTATCTGTCTATTGACTGCTCAGCGTGGTCAGAAATAAGAAATAAGAAATACGCGCCGCGTGACCCACTTTCAAGTTGTGTTTTTGTCTGCTTTTTGTTTGTACTGTTGCCGTTTGTTCCACGTTTCACGCTACTGCTATACAAACATAAATATACACAAATATATGTATATCTACTAAATACATATATGTATATGTATTTGTATATGTATATATATCGCACTCACTATGTCGAGTTTCTTTCAGCGCAACAAGTTTTTAGGCAAATTAGCAGCCAACAGCTGCAAGAATTATCGACGTCGCTCATTGAAAGTTGATTAACCACTTGCCAACTACTTGAGGCCAGAACTTTGCCAATTCGAGCAACTACAATATGCTCCTCTTGGTGCCCATTAACAATGGGAAACCCAGCTAAATGCTCTTGGCCAAATGTGTGCAAACAGGCGAATTCGACCCGAAAATCCCCATCGATTTAGTGCCATTTATCTGTCCGTCAGCCTCTCGGACCATTTGTCGGTATATTTGCTTGAGACTCTCGCCAGCAATTGGTGATTTAAAACATTAAAACGAAAGTAATCGATATCAGTAAATATACGTAAATATGGCTTAACAGAAATACGGCTTTAAAGAAAAGAAAAGCTCTCATAAGAAATATATATGTATAGAACATATATAAACAGCTGAATTAATGCAGACTCATCTGTCTATCCATACATCTGTTAGAGACCAAGTCAACATTTTAAGCTTGAATTGTATTGATTGGTATTGTCTTTCAATTTATTTTAATTCTTTATTTTAGTTTATTTATTTATTTATATATATATTTTTTTTTTTTAGCTTTTTTTTTAAAATCCTATAAAGGTTTTGATACAAATTTATTATTAACAGAGGTTAGCTACTGCTTATTTATTTATTTTTCTATATTTTTTATTCTTTAATTCGTTTGGGTTTTTTTATGCAGAAAATTAAATGATATATGAAAAGGTATATGCATATATATGTGTGGACTCTTGATAAAAAATTCCGAGCCGAGTAACTCTAGCTATTTTGATCTATCCGTCTGTCCATCTCTTCATCCGTATGAATACAGCAATCTCTTATACAACAAGAGCTAGAGAAATGAAATGTGAAATATACATATATTCTATGTAAAATGAACATTACGAATTTAAAATTATATTACTTCCTTATCATCGATACAAATCGATAAGGCAATTCTCCAAGCTACGCATAAAGGAAAACACACAAGTTGAATCTAACCAATTTTTTGGAGTTGTTGCTAAATATCATATATTTAGTTATATTTTTTATATTTGATATCTAGCTCCATATCAACTCAAAAATGCGTTGCCAAATATAGAGATATATTACATTATCATATTCTGCAGTCTACAATTAAGATCGCATAGTAATCGAATTATTTCCGAAGACATCAGAGAACCAGATAGAATAAAACTGTGGAAGTTATAACTGGAATTTATAAGTCATGCCGCAAGCAGCCAAGAGTCAGATTAAACATGTTTACACATTTTTATGGGACTAGGAAAACAGATTGAAATCTGAGTTATATTTTAATCTTCTCACTAAGGCTGGAATGGTTTTACCAGCCAGTAATTCTGAACTAAGTTCGTAATATTATCAAATCATCTACTTCCGCCAAGACGACTGATAAGAAGTTGCTTACGTTTGGTGCAAGATAAACATTTTTCTAGTTAATTTACAACTACAGATAAAAATGCACTAGTATATATAAATACTTATATATAGTAGTAGTAGGTCAACAACTTTTACGTGTTTTTATTAGATTAGTCTTTGAGCCACTCAAGTACTATTTAAAGGAGATAGCATAATCGAATGGGAATTTAATTGCTAATCAATGTGAATTTTTTTATCAATTCGAAGTGAGCGCGTGTATGACTGAGTATGGGCATAATGAAAGTCATTTGAAAAGTTGAAAATTACTCTTCAATTGATTTTTGCTGCTTTCTGCATCCAGTGACAAAGTCCAATGTGTTGTATAAGCTACACTAGCTGGGGATGTCAGGCTACCCAATACCCTGTTTTCAATAGAACTAGGGGAATGTCAAACATATCCACAGTATAATCTTAGCTCGAGTTCAGGTGTTCTGTTGCCGACTGTTTGTTTACGACTCATGAAAGTGACTCAGCAGCTTAGTGCAACACAGCGACAGAGCTGCAGCAGCATGTTGCTGCTGGCTGGCTGCAGCTAGAGGGAGCCTAACTGCACTTTGAGGCCATTAGTTGAGCTGCAAACCTGTTGAATTTGTTGACAATGCTAACGGATGTTGGCTCAGCTGCACGTGAGAGTCATTTGTCCTTTTGGCCAGTCACTTGGCATTTACAGCAGAGAGAACGGGCGAGAGAGAGCAAGAGAGTGAGTGAGACAGAGTGCACACACAATATGCCAACGTGAGAAAATGTGCGAAAGTACCCGGTAGGGTATAGCAGCTTTCGGCTGGGAATGTAATGCGTGTAAGGGGCAACACGTAGACAAGGGCCAATCACTGTTCATTGCGATATGATGTAATTGGCCGGGCTCTTGGGAAAGTGGATCAATGGCACAGCAAACATTCGCATGCATAACCCACTCATAATCGTCAATTCGTTGTTCCTTTTGTATGCATTGCAGCTCACAGACGAAGTTGTGCGCAAGAAGAGCGAATACCAAAAACATTTGGAGGGCTACAAGGCGTTACGCACGCGCTTTGAAGAGCACTACATAAAAGGTGAGTAACACCCAATGACTAGCTGGCTGAACTATCTCTATTCTCTCCATATTCGTCCTTCCCTTCCGTGCAGCACCGGGTCGAAGTGGTCGCAAACTGGACGATGTGCGGGACAAATATCAAAAGGCCTGCCGTAAACTCCATCTTACCCACAACGAATACGTGCTCTCCATCACAGAGGCCGTCGAGGTTGAGAAAGACTTCCGCACAGTGCTGCTGCCGGGTCTGCTCGAGCATCAACAGTCTGTGCAGGAGAGCTTCATACTTCTCTGGCGCAACATTCTCTTGGAAGCGGTTCAGTACAGCGATTTGACAGCCGACAAATTCAAAGAGATACAGAAACGCATCGACACTGAGATAAGCGGCATAAATCCAACGGAAGAGTATTCAGAGTTTACAGAGAAACACAAGTAAGTATAGAGTCTGCTCGAATCCGTTTTTATACACATTAAATAAAATATAGAGTAATTTTTATTTTTTTACAATTGGAGCTCATTGTTATGATAAGTCATCTAGTTCCCAAAAAATATAATCAATTAATTAACTTTAATGCAAACAAAAATAATAATAATAAATAAATAAAGAAATAAAATAAATAACTAAATAACAATTCAGTTTCATAAGAAATTAGATTAAATTAAGTTTTCCTTCCTTCAACGAAATAATACATATGTATGTACAAATGTCCACACGAATTTATAGATTTTCGAAAATTAACGTTCAATAGAAAGTTTTTCAACAAAAATGGGTTATTCCTCATTCCTTGCTTCATATGCATATCATTTTCACATATTCTATATGCTTGCGATATGTCGAGATTCAACAATGCTGAAATCTCGAACTGATAGAAATTTTATATAAATAGATTTTTAACTTTAATATAAATGATTGTGCACGTCTAACAAGGAAAATTGAAAAATTGAAATCGAATATAATTTCTTATGCGCAAAATTCATCGTTAAATAAAAACTTAAACATATGCTAAGGCTTGTGGATTTTTCTCTTATTTTGCCTATTAACAGAAGGAATAAAGCATCATAATAATGTCACAAGCTTAAAAATTTTAATTCTAATAATACTTGAACTGACAACGTTACGATTTTGAAGAGCTTGTAAAATTAAATCAATGGGAATATTATATTTGTGTGAAAAAGAAAAATACTATGAATAAACAAGGAGACGAAAATTACGAAATTCTATAAATTTCTACGAATTAATGAGTTTTACGAAGACAACCACAGATTTAACAAATTTTCGAAATTTCCGACTTAATAGGGGATAAATTATCGTGTAAGGATATTTAAAGTCCATTTTATATCATATCTAATACCATCGTTAACGATGTTAAGAAAATTATGTATAACATTTACAAGATTAACATTATTAATTAACGAGAACAACTCGAGTCATGTGTAACTAAATCAATCAAATACAAATATTATTATATTGTAAGAAATAACGGGATAGTTTGTTAAATAAATATTTTTTAATATTTGCAGAACTTCGCCCACCACGCCGCTGCTCTTTCAATTCGATGAGACACTCATCGAGGACATACCGGGCAAGCTGACTGCGAGCACCCTGACCGTTGACAACCTGACCGTGGATTGGCTGCGCACGCGGCAGCTGGAGCTGGAGGCGGCCGTTAAGGATTGCCAGGAGAGACAACTGAAGATAATTGAGCATGTGAATGGTGGCTCGCCTGTGGCCAATGGCAGCATCATCTCCAATGGCAGCAGTGCATCTAACGGCATACAGTCCAACAAAGATAGTCAAATGTGAGTAGATACCAATCGAATATCGATCGATATGGCAATCATTATCCCGCATCGATATTCGCAGTCGCCAATCGAAGGACCTCAATGCGCTGCGCTGCCAAGAGAAGCAAAAGCAGAAGCTCGTCGACATGATCAAGTGTGCACTGAACGAGGTGGGCTGCGAGGAGCTGCCCTCCGGCTGCGACGATCATCTGTCGCTGGAACAGAACTTCATCGAGCACGGCTTTAACAACGAGCAGCAGGTAGGTGTTATTGCTTGATCGAACTACGACTTGAATATGGGCGTTGGTTAGCTGTAAGCGTAGCGGTTTGGGTCAGCATCAATGATCGACTAATCGTATGATATATTCAACTATTTCTACTCTCTTGGATGCCGCCTTCTGCCCCATACACACATACACACATACACACCTACACACCAACACACACACATATATATCCACAAACCATTTCTGTAACCCATTCTAATTGAACATGCGTCGCTGCAATAGCGCTCCAACTCCACTAGCTCTCCAGGTCTGGGTATTATGAATGAGCTGATGCGCCGTGGTGGTGTTCTGACGCTCCTGCGTGGCCGCGGTCGTCACTTCAAGCGCAAGTCAACGCCGCAGCCAACCACGCCCATGGCCAGAGCGCGTCCAGGTAGATTCTCGAAGATGCAGCCTCGCTCGCAGAGCCTGGGATCGCTGTCGGTAATTACGGATACGCGTAGTCCTGCACGTTACGAGCCAGTTACTAACCCAATGCGTCTGGCGGCCAGCGTCCACTATCTCGGCGAGGAGATTGTGCTGAGCGCTCAGCCGCCGGCGTTGCCGCGTTTGCGGCGCACGCAGTGTTCGATGTTGTGTTTGGGCGAGGATGACCCATCAGTTGATCCTTTGCAGTTGCCGTTGCCGCTCCCGGTGGCCTTGCCCGCGCCCCCATCCTCGCCCCTAACCGCCACTGCCATTACTAATACTAACAACAATCACATTTATGCGGATCTGGAGCTGGCCAACAAGCCCGCCACTGCTGAAGAAGAAACAGATGCGAATACGGATGTGGATGCGAATGCGAATGCGGATGCGAATGCGGATGTTGACAGCGTTGCCAGTGAAAATGAGTTGCAAGTCAGCTGCCATCAGATTCAGATTGAAATCAATCGCATCGAGTCGGACGACTCGCAGGCAGTGCCCCAAAGCTCCATCGATGCACATCTAGACCGAATCGATGAATTAAATCGTGTGCTCGATGATCGGCTAAAGCGCAGCTTACAGCCTATGAGCCCTACGGATGTGAATGCCATCGAGAGCGCCGATGATGTGAATGTACAAAGGCGCCAGGCAGAACTAGATGCCGATAGCCAGGCCAAGCGCTGTTCCAGCTCAAGCTCCGAGTGCCGCTCCTCGCTGCAGGGCGCCAAAGATGCCGCCCAACACAAGAAGCGATCACTGTCCTTCACGCAAAAGTCGATTAGTAACATAATCAGCAATATCAGAGAGTTCTCCAAGAGCCCCTTGGCACGTATGGGCAAAAGTGCGACGCTCAGCGAGGAGCCCGACCCAATGAAGTTGGCCAACGAGCCGAGCCAACTCTCCAACAGCAGTGAATCACACACGCAACACAGTAACAGCAACAGTTACACAAACAGTAACAGTAACAGCAACACTAACAGCAACAGTGTTCACAACAACAACAACAACAATGCCCATCCGTGCCCGCCAACAAGTATCGCCAGCTCCATGGCGACGACATTGACAACGACAAGCACATCCACATCCACATCCACATCGACAACGATGCCGTCCAAGGAAACCTCAAGACTGAAATTTAAAGTGCCAAAGATACAAAAGAAATCGAAAGCCATCCGCAATACATTCCGTACCAAGTTGCTCAGCTTCCAACTGAGCCGGTCCAAGCCGTGCAAGCAGTGCACCAAACGACGTCGGATTCATCCCAGCAAGAGTGTATTGGACTTTGCCAAGGAGTTCGAGACAAATCCCCAAGAGCAGGCCGAGCAGGATCAGTTCTGTAGCTGCCCAAAGGCGAAACCAAAGCCGCTGCGAATGTCCTGCCCAAAGGATCGCTCCTTCGAGATACAGAGCTCCGAGGAGCTGGACGACGTGGATGACGACGGCAACGAGGACAGCAGCAGCGACGACGTGCTCAGCCTTAAGGAGCACTGCTACTGTGTGCCCAGCTTGGCAGCGAGTGTGAGTAGCAGCGAGCCCCGATCGAGATCAGCATCGAGGCCGAGCCGTCTGCAGCATCCACAACAGTATCTAAATCTAAATCCAAATACGCACTGCCAGCAGAGGATCTCATTGCACATTGCTTGCCGCATTCCCGTAGTCGTACTCCGTCGATAGCATGTTCTTTCAGTTTGCATGTTTCAGCTTTTCTGTGCAACTTTCTGCTTTCAATGTTGAACGTAGAGCGTAGACAGAGCCTAACCCAACAAGCAAAAATACCAAAAATAAAATTCATTTCCAACTCTGAGCATATCATACATTCGTGGGTGGTTTATAAGAGACAGATATTGCCTGAATATCAGACGATGAATTCTTGGATTACAAACTATCTATGGGGATTATAAGACACAGAGATTGTCCGAATAATATTTGCCCGCAAATATTTGCTATGGTATTTATATTAGGAAAACTTATGCTTATATCTCTTTTGTAATTACCTAATCAATTTAACTTTTGTATATATTTAGATTAGTTTAAATCTATTTTACTACAGTCCATTTTAACTTTTCATACAGCCCTCGGCTACTATGCTAAATTTACTTGTGCGTGTCAAGAGACACAGAATGAGAGAGAGAGAGAGAGAGAGAAAGGTGCAAGTTGAATTTCTAAGATTATGGATCCTATCCAAATATTTCATTCAGTTTGCTCAGATCTGGCGTGCAGCTAAGACGTCTACTGCCGCCATTTATCTATTGGGTATACCGCTAAGAAATACAGACACACACTCACACAGATAGATAGAAATGTTTGGCGTCTATTTGGTCAGTGAAGAATTGGAAATAATTTTCCTCAATTATAAATAGAGTGTGCGCCGCGTGTTTCCCCTTGACATAAAGAGTATTGCGCAAGTAGCTGAGCTTGGGCCTGCGGTATGAGTAGCACCACTTCCGGCGAAAGCCACAGCTGCAGTGGCTATGGCAGTGGCAATGGTGCCACAGACAGTGGCATCTTTGAGTCGATTGTCTTTGCCGTTCGCCCGGTACCGCCGGTGCGCAGGAAGCGGCCCAAATCGAAAATATTTGTGAGTCAATCGAAAGACCTTGAATGCAATCGCCTCATCCCAATATAGACGTAGTAATAACCACTTTTTTGTTTTTATTGCATCCACGTATATTGAATCTAATTTATTTTGCTGCATATATATATTTATTTTATTTTGAGTAATGCTTTAAAGCATTTAATGCCATTTCACTTTCGTCAGACGTATTTGCACCCACACACTTCCGTTTGGGCAGTGAATGGGAATGGAAAACGAAATGGAAATGGCAATGGCAATGGAAATGGCGTGCTAAATATTTAATTTGTGCTTTGCATGTTGAACTAATCCGAAAATAATAATGGACAATGAGGCTACATGGGGCATTTGACTAACTATTCATATTGATACTGCTTGCAGCTCTCGCTATCCACGAATCGTCCCCTGTACGAGGAGGAGTGGTTCCATGGCGTCCTGCCCCGCGAAGAGGTCGTCCGCTTGCTGAACAACGATGGCGACTTCCTCGTGCGCGAAACGATTCGCAACGAAGAGAGCCAAATCGTATTGAGCGTCTGCTGGAACGGACATAAGCATTTCATCGTGCAGACGACTGGCGACGGTCACTTCCGGTTCGAGGGCCCGCCCTTCCCCAGCATACAAGAGCTCATCATGCATCAGTATCACTCAGAGCTGCCGGTGACCGTCAAATCAGGCGCGATCCTGCGTCGACCTGTCTGCCGAGAGCGTTGGGAGCTGAGCAACGACGATGTCGTGCTCCTGGAAAAGATCGGCAGGGTAATATACAAACTGATCCCCGTTTTCACCTTGGCAGTTCATTGAAATGTCCTTTATCTCCTCGCAGGGCAACTTCGGCGATGTTTATAAGGCCAAGCTCAAGTCCACAAAACAGGATGTGGCCGTTAAGACCTGCCGCATGACTCTGCCCGACGAACAGAAACGTAAATTTTTACAGGAGGGCCGCATCCTGAAGCAATATGATCATCCCAACATTGTCAAGCTGATTGGCATTTGCGTGCAAAAGCAGCCCATTATGATTGTCATGGAGCTGGTGCCGGGTACGTAAATATAGATGGTCATTTACAGTGAAATGAATTTTCCATCCTCAAAGTTATTTCATTCATAGCTGCTTTCTTTACATATGTAGTTTCTTAAAAATGTATATTATCTATCATGTTCATATGGTGCACCAACTGAAAATTTGATGGTATTACATGAACTTAAAGTCTCTTATCCATTTAAAAAGTTTGGTTCTTCTTATTATACTCAAGCAAAAAATGAAAGAGTATATAAGTTGTATATCATATCCATCCGCCTGTCCGAACGGCTGTCCGTGCTTTTGTCCGCCCGTATGAACGTAAAGTTAGGGACTTGGCATTCTGAATATATATTCGTGGATACCCTCGTATTATTATATTTACTAAGGGTAAAGCAATCAGAAAATATGTCAAGATACTATTGTTATAAGTTCTAATCACTTCAAGTTATGAATCCGTATCTGCTAAAACTCTTCTACAGTCTTGCAGATAAAAAGTTAAAATTGACCCTTTAAGTTGCTGTACTAACTTCTCCAGTGATTTACCAAAATGTAAATTGATGCAATTATCAATATTTTCAGCTGAGTATTTACACTGAAGCCAAAGATTCTGTCAGAAGATAATTTTACGCTTTTCTAGAAGACGTGTTCAAAATTTATTTTAAAATATTTGTATGTATAATTCTCATCTCTCTAGATCTCTTCTAATTTCCAGATCTTTGACTTTAAAAATTTCACATGTTCTAATGCTACTTAATTATTATCTATTATCTTCCAGGTGGCTCCTTGCTAAACTATCTGCGTAAAAACTCAAATTCGCTCACCACACGGCAACAGATGGGCATGTGTCGAGATGCTGCTGCAGGTGAGTGGCTGCTAATTGTTCTTTGTTAATTGATAAAATTTATTCTGACCATAACATTCATTTCAGGCATGCGATATCTGGAATCTAAGAACTGTATACATCGTGATCTCGCAGCTCGAAATTGTCTTGTGGACTTTGAACATAGCGTTAAAATATCAGATTTTGGCATGTCACGCGAAGAAGAAGAATATATAGGTATATAGGCGTATAACTGAATATATATCAAATCATTCAAGCAACCTGATTTTCTATTCAGTTTCCGATGGCATGAAACAAATACCAGTTAAATGGACAGCGCCCGAAGCTCTTAATTTTGGCAAATACACAACTCTCTGCGATGTTTGGTCGTACGGAATTCTTATGTGGGAGATATTCTCCAAGGGCGATACTCCCTATTCTGGAATGAGCAATTCGCGTGCTAGAGAACGTATCGATACAGGTACGTTTCGCTTAATAGAAAATTAATTTAAATATCTTGCTTAGTCGGTGCTCGGTAATTAGCTTGTGAATATGATCGGGATTCAAACTCTAAGCAGTATGATTATTTAAGGCCAAGGCTATACATTTCAGTGATGTAATAAACACTTAGGTTAATCAGTTAATGCATTAAATTAGTATGAAAATATATTTTCAAAGTAGAAATTTCCGTTTCCATATTCTGGAAAGGATATAGTCAGAGGAAAATATTGTCATTTTGAGAAAACGTTTCGATTAATTTACCATATTATGTAAATATGTTATGAATATTAAATATATCATTTGCATACTATATGTATACTATGAATATATTATAAATTATCTATATTAAAACAGGATTAACAGTCTGCAAAAAAGCTCCTCCAAATTCAATTGCTAATCAGTATCCTTTAGTCTCACTTTAGAAAGTAAGAAAATATTATTAAATGCAAGTATATTCCCTATATTTAGATACTTTCCCAATATACTATATCAAATAATATAAGTAACTAATTTTTCAACAACTAATAATCGGCTAGCTTGACTAGAGCTATTAAATACAAAAAAGTATCTCAGGATTTTCTAAATTTAAATTTATATCTAATATGATTATGTAATGTATATGTAGCGAAGAAAGCAAAAATATTTATATATTGTAATATTTTCAGGATATCGCATGCCCACGCCTGAGAATACGCCTCCCGAAATGTACCGTCTGATGCTGAAGTGCTGGGCGGCTGATGTCGATTCTCGTCCGCATTTCGATGAGATCTACAACGTTGTCGATGCGCTCATACTGCGCCTGGACAACAGTCACTGAGCACCGTAGATGGCCAAGTTCTGTGCGAAGCTGTAATTAACATAATTATTTTTAATACACACTCAACGTAGTTCTGAGTAAGCGCTTTTAAAGTATGTCATTTCCTAGGACTACACAACGAAATGCCTGTATTTATAAAATACTGTATACACATATACTTTATAAGAAAAATGCCTATATTTAAATTTTAGCATATTGACGATATTAATATATAAAAAAAATATGCAGATACATATTTATATACATATAATATAGTCTTATATATTTAAACATATGTATGTGTAATCAGCTGAGTGCCTGCTTGATTTTAAGTGTGTGTGTGTGTAAGAGTGTATGTGTGTGAGTGTGTGCGAGATCCTGTACGATTTGTCATTACGAATCCTAATTGTGCCAAAACAGCAAAATTAATGAAAAGAAGCCAGAGAAATTTTGAAAACGCAGCGTGTGCTTGATGAACTCCTAGCCTTAAGTTCTTGAATTTATGTTTTCTATGTTAGTTTTCTTAGGATTTAAGAATAGATAACACACACATTGTAAATGAAAGAGTCCTGCTGACTTGATATTGAATTGTATATTTATTTAATGCTATTTACATTTCTACTACGATTACAATTCTATTAATATACATTCAAGCTCTAAATTAAGCTCAAATTTTTGCAGTGTTGCAAATTTTGTGCAATAAAATTGAAAATAAATCAAAAATAGTGCATACACAAAAATATAAAAAAAAATAAAAAACCATAAATTATGTGTTTATAAAGTCTTCTCAATAATTGCCAGTGGAACATCGGAGAACTCGACCTTTGCATAGTATTTCTTGAGCTCGTTCTTCAGCTCTAGACTGTGCTCCCAGTCTCTCGTCTCGCAGATCACTTTCACCTCCACCGTGTAAATGTCGCGCAGCCAGGCCCGTTCGTGCATAATGTCTTTGATGGAGACACCCAAGCGCACTAGCCGAGCGCAGAGATCGTTTATGCCACCTGGACGATCACTGACCTCCACATTGAACTTAACCAAGCGACCCTCGGCTGCCAGTCCGCGCTCCAGACAACGTCCAAAGACCGTTGTGTCTATGTTGCCACCGCAGAGCAGCACGACAACCCTGCCAATAAAAACAGTTATTGAAAGAGAGTATGAGGTAGACCAGACGAGGCTCACTTCTTGCCCTTGAGGTCGTCCAAGTGGCCAGCCAGTATGGCAGCCAGTCCAGCACCGCCAGCACCTTCGACCACACACTTCTCCTCCTCCACCAAGCGCAAGATGGCCACGGCTATCCACTCCTCCTTCACCACAACCATACGATCGATCAGGGGCAGAGCTGTCGCATAGGCATTAACTCCCACCTTCGGCACCGCCAAGCCATCGGCTAGGGTATTCTTGATGGGCGTGCTTATAGGACCATTGTTTTCCATAGCACGTGAAAAGCTAGCGCACTTTTCCGACTCTACGCCCTAGAATTATGAATCGTTGATTATCAAAATTCCAGAGAACTCAACTCCTAGAAAGCTTACGATTATTTTGGTCTTGGGCGAGAGCGCCTTCACAGCTGTGGCAATACCGGCGATGAGTCCTCCGCCGCCAACGGGCACCACAACTGCATCCGGCTCTGGCACCTGCTCCAGTATCTCCAGCCCGATTGTACCCTGGCCGGCCATAATGTGCGGATGATCGTAGCCATTAATATACAGCAGCTGCTCCTCCCGCGACATGCGCATAGCCAGCGACTTGGCCTCGCCCATATCCTGGCCCTCGACAATCACGCGAGCCTTGTAGTTGCGACACTTCTGCACCTTCATAATGGGCGCGGCCTTTGGCATCACCACGGTAACAGGAATCGACAATTTCCAGCCATGGTAGCACAGAGCCAGGGCGTGATTCCCCAACGAAGCGCTGATCACGCCCTTGCGTTTCTGTTCCTCCGACAGGCTGAGCAGCGCATACCTAGCACCCCGTTCCTTAAAGCTGTAAACAGAATCATTTTGTGCTTTGATATGGCTGACACAATATTTATTTCAGTGGAGGTGACCGCTGCAGGTGATAATGTCGAATCAAATGGAAGAACTATAATTGCTAATCAACCTATTAATGTGTCGCTTCCTATGCTATCAACCAAAAATAATGTTATCAGGCGTTAATTGAATTTTGGAAAAATACGTGTCGAAATTAATCTAACGACACTCTTAGATTAAATAAAGAGGCATGTACATAATTTGCGTAGTTCCAATTGAAAGTGATTGCAAATGATAAAGGAGCCATGAGAAATTATATTGCAAGAAAAGGAATCTGTGGAAATACATATAGTCCTTCGTTATGGTCGAATATAAAAGGAAAAAGTGGAAACTTGAAACATGTAATATTTATTCATTGACGGCTTACACTGGATTTCTCTTTCATATTTACAGTCGCAGAAAAATATAAATTATACACTGCACCATTTCGTTGATTTACAAAACAAATTTGTAAAATAATCTCCTACGAAAGGTGAGAATCTCTAATCATATATAGACTTGTTATAAAATTTAATTATATTATTAATCGATGATTAATTTCAATGTTTCTGAGAATATTACTGGGAGTATTGGTACTATTAACAGGCATCATATTCGTTTTACGTCTTATCGCTAGACGGAAAATATTATGCCAGACAATAAACATTTATACATATACTTATGTTCATACTATATTCAGTTGTATTGAGAAAAAAATTGCATTCGAGTACTTTGGACCTGAATTGAATATATTTACACAATATATAGAAGTGAGTCGGTAAAATTAATGCGAAAAAAAAAAACCTAGCCTAGATGATCTAGTCCTATCCACTTATTTCCGATCAAATTGAAAATATATTATAATCTTTATAATCATTATATCAAGACATTCCCAAGCCTGTTACTAAAGGCACTCGGCACTTGAATCCGAAGGACTATAAACTAATTTATTTTCAATAAAAGTATCCGACTACCACCCAGTAATAAGTAAGTCTATGCATAACGATCACTCACCTGCCTGTGTATTGTAGAAAGTCCTTTTTGAAATACAATTCCATCCCATATGTCTCTGACGATGTGGACCTCTGCAAATGACTTGTGAGCTTAGACTGCATCCCTATTATCGGATTCAAACACTTACGGGACAGGGTGTGCGCTCCACACCACCCTTAATCAAGAAGGCAGCTGATGTAACATCGTGAAATGAAATTCGTTTCGGATTCTTGGAATCACAAAAAGGATCGACAATTTCTTCAACTCCACCCGATACGTGCCGCGTCCTAGTATTCGGAACAATCAGCTCCAACTTGCAGTTCTCAGCGGTTCCATTGGATTTGTTAACTGAGGCGCCATTCTGGACATTCTGTGTTTGCTCTTTTGCTTCCTGCGACATTTTTGCGATATTCCGCCGTATTAGCATTTAATTTAATTAATTCAACTAGAGCTGATGAGCGACAGCGAACAACTGCTCGGTGTGGTATGACTTCTATACATTTATAAAATCAAATTGAGTGAAACTAGTACGACTTATTCACGTTCGAGTGCCGACAATGAAATACCCTTTAAAAAAGCCAGGTGTACTAAAAGTTTCTGTAACCAGTGACCGAATGACTAATCTGACTTCAGGATAAGGATAGGAATAAGGATAAATGCAATAGGAAGATCCTTTCATATGACTTTTTCCACATCTGGATCAAACTTTCTTAGGATAACTCCGCAGTAGATTAGCCAGAGTTTCACAAATTTACATATAAACAAACTAAACTCAATCAATATTATTTTTGTTATGTGAGCTCACTGAGGACTGCTTATCCATAACTACATATACATATATTATAGACGAGTTATATGGACTCACTGAACAATTAGAGTAAAACACATTTCATGACTTAACTATGATGCCCCACGCGAGAGTAAGCCAATTTATATATATTACTGATCATAAAACGGCATATTTCATGCCGATAGAGCAGGAATTTTATGAGAGTTCAGTTGGCGACCGCTGATAAGCCCCATTTGGTAAGCATTAATGAACTGTGATACGAAGTTTCATAATTGTTTTGGTTATTTTGGCAACATCATTTCAGTTGCTGTCGCATTGATAGCAACATATCATACCAATATTTATTCCAGTGCAAATATGTCATAATAATGCAGTAAATGGATTATCATCAGTATCATCGATAAGCATGGAGTCGAAAATTGTGCTTTGTAAGGAGTTGACATTAAAAGGAAACTTAACATTAAATTTTTGAATAATCAGAAATAAGTTCTGTCTAACGATTTATGTGTTCGCGTAGCTCTAAAGGGATGAGTATATATACATATGTATATGTACATATATATATATACATATGTCGAATTCTTTTACAATAGTTAGTGACGTTTATCAAATGAATTTTTCCAAATTAATTTATTCTACAGATTGAATTAATTCTACGGACTAAATGAATTCTACCCAACTAATTAATTCTTCCGATATATTCTGAATTCATCCATTTATCGACTCGGCAACCACGCCCCCACATATAAATAGCCTCAGTAACCTAGCAAATGACTTACTATCAAAAAACTTGCGCAGCAGATTGTTAGCATCATATAAGAAGATAAGAAAAGTACAAAATAAAACAAATTTTAAGAGACCCAATTACTTTATTTTTGGGAACCCGCGAAAACAACATAGCTTATCTTATCATCACATGCGCACAACAAAGTACTAAACAAAGATGCAAATAAAAAGGTCAATAAAAGAGAAACCAAACAAACAGAAACAGACTGTGATCCCCACAGAACGGTGCAGAGTTCATCTGTGTATATATAGTATAATGTGTTTACGTCCGATCTATAGCTAGGCGTTGAAGCTCAGCCAGTTAGCCGGATTGGTGACAGTCATTTGTTCCACCTGCTCGAGCGTTACGCCGCGCTGGAACATGCGAGGCAGAATATTCATGTGTATGTGATGATATCCGTGTCCGCCATAGGAAGTCTAGAATAAAGGAAAGTACATTACAATCCACCTGTGAAAGGGAGAGAGAGAGATCTCACCAGTCGATGCTTTGTGTGGATGTCGTGCGACATGAGCAGCCTGTCCACGAGTCCCTCGTTGATCAGCTTCATGATGT